TACACATATACATATACATATGCGCTCCTCAACTTGAACGACACGAAATGACAGCCAATTGCTAGAGCAGGCAACAGCCTTAGATCAATTGATATAAGGCAGCCTCAGTGCCCGGCTATAGCTATTTCGGAAACAAGTTGCCAGTTACGGCAGACCCAACCCTGGCCAAAAATTGCACTAGCCTGCTCATTAAAACAATAAAAGGCACACACACACACACACATGTGTGTACACAAAAACGGGGGGCAAACCGAAGCCTAATTATGATTTTTCCAACTGACAGTGGTCGAGTCGTACTACGATTTTTGCCTTTTTTGTATGGTGTAGGCGGATGGGTGGTGGTGATGCCAGAGAAGGCGGGGAGGGGGGGATGGATGTTGTCGACTATCATAAAGTCCAGCTCCAGCTGTAGACCCCCCGACCGCTTGACCATTTTCCCCACTCTATTTTCATTACCATCTGTATCTCTATCTGTGCGTAACGCAACGTAATTACACAACATTTTTACTTAGACATTTCTCGTTTGGCTATTTGGCCATTGGTTTTACGAGCGTATTGCACTTTTGCGGCCATACAGCATAGACCAACCCCCGAGCAGAAAAAAAAATATATATATACATATATATAAGAAGAAGCCAAAACCGAAACCGAAACCGAAACTGAAACCGAACCCAAATCCGTAACCAAAGCCCTGGCCAGGCACCTGTGCTACGACATATATTCATATATATACATATATACATTGTATACATATGTGCATGTATGTGTGTATCATGTATACACATGTAACGTACCACTCACAAATACGATGTATGTATCTGTCCGGTCCAGTTTGTCTGTCAGGCTGCCTGGACTCCGTCCGTCCGTCCATTCGTCCATCCGTCCGTCTGGCATTATTAGCAGCTTGCGTGCAAAAGCATTTATGAAATTCTCAACCCTATGTGATTGTAGATGGTCCAGCCGTGAGACCGCTGTCAGTCTCTCGTTTAACATTTATGAGGCGACGCAAAATGATACGAAAACGTTTCGTCATAAACTTCAATAATCGTAAATATAGATTTCTCCCTGCCCAAAGGGCGGACAGACAGTCCAGCCCGGCTCTGGCCAGCCTTGTCCTCCCCCTCTCGCCTCTCGCTCTCACACTTGCCTAACTGTTCTTCCGTGCTTCTCTGCTACGATGAAATTAATAGTTTTAGGCTTTCGCTTTCGCTGACGCTGACGTGAGTTTGAGCGTCGCATTTCATTTTCATGCCGCCTGGTCAGTTATATTGCTCTGCTCCCGCCTCTACCTCAGCCCTCTTCCTCCTTCTCCACCTCTGCTCTTTGCGAGTTCCAGTTCCGGCTACATCTCCATCTCCATCTCCAGCTCCATCCCCATCTCCGTCTCGTTCACTCTCTCTGTTTCACTTCCGTAATGCACATTTATGTGTGTGCCGGCTACTGCCGACATTTTTATCGTTTCGTCAATGTCATAAATTCTGATCTAGTAGCTGAAATTGAACTTAATGCGCTGCTCTGCACCACACACACACACACACACACAAACACATGCACGGGAAACTAAGCACAACAACTATAGACCTTATCGTATATTGTCCTCATGTTCTTTCCATTTGCTGTATTGCGTAAGTCAAGTCGAGCCCCTATCAGAGGCAGCCTAAAGTAAATTTTTGCTTAGCTCCAGCTATTGCCCTTTTCTTTGCATTTCTTCTTTACTCTACTGTGCTCTACTCTACTCTACTCTCATCTACAAAACACTCTACTCTTCTCTACTCTCATCTACTCCACATTCTACTCTTCTCTACTCTCATTTACTCCACTCTACTCTTCCACTACTCTCTCCACTCTTCTCTACTCTCATACACACTTCTGTTTTCTTCTTCTTTCCTGTAGTCTTCTACTCTTCCGTTCTCTTCTCTTCTGTACTCTACTTTATTCTACCCTTCTCTACTCTACTCTACCTTACTTTACCCTACTTTACTCTACTCTGCTCTTCTCTACTCTCATCTACTCCACACTCCAGTTATCTCCTCCACTCTTCTCTACTGTCATATACTCTCTTCTGTTTACTTTTTCTTTTCTGTAGTCTTACACTCTCCGTATTCCTCTCTCCTGTGCTCTACTCTATGCTATCCAACTTTACTCGACTCCATCCCACTTTACTCTACTCTACTCTACTCCAACCTCCTCCATTCTCTTCTGCTCTCCGGAACTCTACTGTGCTGTACTCTAATCAATTCTATTCTATCCAAACCTACTCTACTCTACTCTATTCCACTCTCTTCTGCTCTCCTGTACCCTTCTCTAATCTACGCTTCTCGTTTTTCCCTTTTCCTCTCTTTCTCTATCTCCTTCTCTTCTGCCTTTTTGCTATTGTTTGTTTAACTGTCTTTAATCATATGTTTGCTTGCTTATCGATAATCTATGCTCGATAAATTATAATGTTCTTTGCTTTGCTTTCGAATTTCGCCGCGTTTCTTTCGTCTCGGAATGGGCGCTGGACAACCCTCAGATTTTGGATGGTACTGGCTGGTGATTCGACTGGTTATTTATGTGGCAATTAGCAGTGCATGCTTTTAGGCCCTGGACGCGCAATTTTAATGACCATTCGAAGCGCATTTCGTTGTTGGCACTTTATTTTTATTTATTTACACAGGCTGCTCGCATACCAATTGTTGGTATCGCTGTAGGGCCGCGCTCTTATCAAGATGTGCGCTAGCCAGTTCTAATTGATAGGGCGGGCACGCCCACAGGCCCCGAATATGCCGCCCACCAGTAGCAGGAACCGTTCGATATTCGCGTGCTCATAATTTGCGCTGCAACCAAAGCAGAAAAACATAAACCAAAACCCCCACAAAAAATAAAGCCAAAAGCTGTCAACTATGTGAATAAATAACTATTGATTTACTAGAAGATACCCTAAGCATTTGGTATAACTGAAGAGAGTCGGAGAAAGGAGTTAAGATAAACATGTTTCTTTTCTAAAGAAGTTAAGATGAGCTAAAAAAGGAGGAGGGAGAAATTTGTATACATATATGGAAATAGATCGAATTGCCTATAGTAGTATATTGAATGTACAGAATAAGCTCTGCCAGTAGATACGAGTACTATGAAAGTAACTCTCAAAATTGTTCATCTTCTCTGTCAAGACTCAGACGACCTTCCATTACAATTGCGCTCATTGTACAGGGTATATAGAAAAACCCACAAACACATTGTATGCTAAACTACGAAAGTAAGTACAAGTGTGGTATGATGACAGAGTTCGAACTGGCACTGGGCGGCAAGGAGCGTAACGCGGTTCCAACTCCTGCTCCGATTTCGATTGCGACGCCCAACTCCCAGTTCTGGTTAGATTTGCACAATTGCCTGGTAGTTGTTGGCGTGTCGATCGCTCATAATTCGCGGGCCGACATGCAAGCAAACAAAATCGAAAATTCAGCACGAACATTATCGATAAAATTGCCATTAAGTTGAGTTTGTGAACTTCGCCCCACTTGGGCCCAGCCGCCTTATCGATAGTTCGCATCGGCCGTCGCGTCGCGTCGCCCCGACGAAACGCAACGCTCGATTTGGATGATGAATGAAGCGCGATTAAACGGCCCAGATAGCCACGCTACTTCCATGCCCACCTCAATCCCACT